GAATTGATGATTCAATCACAAAAGTGAGTTCAACAATTTTCCCTTGGAAAATCCCTTGTTTACAGAACTCGATTCGACTTCTACGACAATTCTGTGTTGAATGCAGTACTTTGGGACATCTTGCATTTTTCCCTACTGCATCGTACACAACATCAATATTCCACTTGTACAGGATCTTTTCCTTTTTGTGTGGATACAGATTGTCCGGCAGACTTGCGTCCGGCATACTTGCGTCGAATCCTGACATCACGATCAAATTCCGATCGCACGTGTCAAAAACCTTGTACTTGAATAGTTTCTTTTGGAACATAAAAACTCATATTTTGTCATATCCCAACACTGGCCACCAATGGAATAAAGAATAGTCCCATTGGAAGAGGGGCTTGTTTCTGTTTGCATCCACCTTTGGTACCCGTGTCATCCTTCTTGCATCCACCCCCCACATGGCTGCCTTCATTGTCACTTGTGGATTCCAAATCAGAATCATCGGAAACATCCAAAGCTTGTACCTTGTCCGGTTCATCAAGCATCATGACACTACCATCATCCCCACTGCTAAATTTCTTCTCGGATGCATCATTTGATAGGACCGCAACGCTGGATGTGTAGGTGAGGTTGTTTGTAATGGTTTCATTGTCTACTTCTTTGGCTGGCCGGCAAAAAATTGCCTCTTTTTCAAGACGGATAGCTTCAGCGTTTTTCAAATGATACTCAGCATCAAACTTGGCCGCATACTTCTCCCATCTTGGCTTTGCCAAACGAGCTATAGCAGCTTTACGCAAGTTGCTTTTTGCGACTAGACCACCCTCCCCGATTGGTGGGGTAGGTTTTGAGTTGTGTTTGTCAGCATGTGGCGCTGGTAGTACAACTTTGTCGATGTATGCAAGATTATTCATGACCATCTCAGGATCTGGAGATGGAAAACTCTTGGACCTCCGACCCTTTGGATTTCCAATGTGATCTCTTACAATATTGCAATTTTTGGTTGTGAGGGCATAGGAGAGGACAACATAGGACAGTTTTGATTTGGGGTTACCAGCTTGCGCTCTTAACCAGCTTATGAACTGGGCCGCAGAGGAATTTGCACCGGCCACCGCTTTTGCAGCAATGTAGTCTGGTGCCGTTACCAGCACTGTTCGATAAGCCAATTTGGAAATGTATCCCAGCTTCAGCTCTAGCATGATTTTGCGGGATTGAGGATTAGCAACTGCAGCTCGCTGCTGGGCAAGGACAAGGAGATGATGTCTTTGCTTGTCCGTTAAGTTGTTAGCCCAGGCAGGTAACGCTCCGGGTCTTGGATGGTGTTTATGCATTTTCTCTCCCTTGCAAGAAAGGTAGATAAACTCCTTGTTCTTTGAGATTTTCAAATGGAGGCGACAGTTACACAACTTGTCACCCGTAGTATCCTTGGCAGTGTGAGTAGCTCTGGCTCTTGTTTGCCCATTCACACAATTAGCCTTGCGATTGTGATGGTGCAACTTGGGACGAAGATCAACTCGAACGCCATGTTTATCAAACTGGGCCATGTAGGAACATACTTGCGAGTTCTGGAGCATCGGAGGGTGCCAGCGTGGCTGTTCAAGTGGAAATGAGTTCCATGTTTCATGGCAAGTTGTTGCAAGTGTTCCAGTAGTTTTTTTTGTCCCTCTTTGTTGGGTGGCCAATGATCAGGATTGAACTGGGAAAGTGTGCGTTCCATCCCATTTGTAACAAAGGAGAAGAGATCAAGTGATTCGTTTTCATGTCCAACAAGACCAGTGAAGAGGAGCTCGGCTGGCCACTCTTGAGCTGCGGCAACAGAAATTTGGAGGTCCTCTTGTAGTTCCTCTTGAGTGAGAAGTGTAGTTGAAGGATCTTGAGAAGGCATGATGGAGCGAGTGAAGGTAGTGGGCTGTGTTTACTTGTCGATTTATGATTGAGTTACTGTATGTAAAGTACTTGCTGTTTTCCGCGCCAAAAAGGGAAATGAGAAAGGGGATTCATTTCAAGCCTGCCAGTCAGCCAAAAGTGGCCGATCCCTGAGCGCTGCCATCCAGGCTGGCGCGAGATATGCGGGCGTTTTGTTTGCATCCCTATTCGGCTGTTTAAAAACGATCAATAAAAGACTCTTCGGCTACCATTTCTTCTAAAACGTCTGCTTCCGAATGCCCTATCTGGAAAGCACTGTTTTCAAGGTATGCAGTAGAAATGGGTTCAGGCGCAGACGTGCCAATCTCATACATTTCAGAAACAGATAGTAAAAGTTCTGCCAAGGCTGTTGGAGTGAAAGTTTTCATCGCCACAGCAATGGAAGGTCGATTATCCCTCAACATCCTTCTCCACTCTGGAACAAGCATCAAGATACATCGCTTTTCCAGTTGCAATAGGTTGGTATCGTTCATTCTAGACTCGTGCTGGGCGTGTTCAGATCCACATTTCGACATTTGAACGAGCACACCCTCCACTTGCAGAATTTTGAGTGCTGTTTCGCCGTCGATTGCGGGTAAAATAGCACGGTTTGTAATTGTCTCAAGCATCCGAAGTGTGAGAGATGGCGATGGTCTATTTGTATTCACCGCTTGAACACAGCATTCGCCAATTATCCTACCAATCACTTTGGATCGTTCGTTCTCCCACCTTCGTGTGTACTTGATTGGGTTCCTTTTCTTTAGAACACCAATACATTGCTTTCGCTTTTGTAGTATTCGATACAAGATTTGTGGTGGAACTAAAGAACCTCGCTCGACGTTCTCAACCAAGAAACCAAACAGTCTGGATTCCGCCAAGAGCACAAGCCGTTGTATCGTAGCTCCAATATTCCGATCCGAAACAAAAGTAAGGAAGTCAACCAGTTGGTTCAAATCCATTGCGTTTTGAACAAACAGCTGCATCGCTTCTTTCAGCTTTGGAATATCAAGAGTCTCAGCAAGTCCATAGAGGATATGTAATCGATCTGCTGATAACGGTAACGTTGATCCGCAGTACATAAAGTCAAGGACAATCGGGATCATTTTTGCCTCCTCCTCATTCATTTTGATTTTGCTCACGAGGATATCCGACTTCCTTCGTTGTTTTTCGAATAACTCGACAAAAAAGTTGCCTTTGCGTGGCCCCCACGCCAACACGTTTGAGTGACAAAAGAAGTTTGTTTGAGTGACTGAAGCTTCTTTGGAGATGGAGTAGATGACTATCCTCCAATCACTAAAGGAAGAAACCGGATCTGTTCTCCAGCTAAGCGCATTGTGTTTGGCGATTTGAGTCGGAGCCATAGGCATGCGATGATTCGCCACGGTCTGTTGGTTTTCGTCTTGTATGTGCTCCTGAGCCGAAAATTGAATTTCTGCGGAGCGTTCTCTGTCGTTTATGATCGATAGATCGACATCATATCTGTCCCTGGTCATTGTTGTAGTCGGATACAAATGCAGAGCTAAGGAAAGACAAGTGGATCCTACTTTTTTGCGATAATCCGAAAAAACAAGAAATTCAAAACGCACTGTCTGTCTTGCCATCCGGCAAGTTGGGATTGAGGCAGTGGGAATTCCCCCTTTTCATTTATTTCGTCCCCGCGATATTTAACGCGATTTCCCACAACTACAGGAGCGGCCTGAAATGGCAGACTTGCTGGGAATGTCCTCAGATATGTCATAGATATTCCCTGGCAAGGATGACGGAAACTGACGTGCCGGTGACAGATTGATTCTGCGCAATGCAGAGCTTGGGCTTCGCTGAAAACGAGCCTGCCTAATGATTCATTTCATTCGTGGACGTTCCGTTGAAATGGATGAACTTCATCGGACACTTCGTCGGAACCGACGAAACTTCGTCGGAACCGACGAAACTTCGTCGGACCCGACGAAACATGGTCGCATTAGGAATAAGGCAGATTATTTTTTAAACCTCTTTATCGGATGAATCCTAAATCTATCACTCATCTGTTACCAGTAGTACAATTTGTTGTTGACGTTTGAATTTCTGAAAGTATGCAACATTGTCAGATAATCAACTCCGTAGCTGTAATGAGAGCCTCAACGCTCTAGCCACCTCTGGAGTATACTGAGCTCGAATCTACGTCGGCTATGGATTGCCTACAATAGGAACAGGTGCCAGTGATGC